CTTTCATGGGCACCTCCATCTTGAATTTTCAAGTCGGCTCCTGATTGGTCCGATTTTTCAAGGCACTATCTTGGATTTAGAGAACAACAGCATCCATTGTTCTCCAAACAATAGCCCATTGTCTTCCTTGGCTCCTGACTGGCTATGGCTCATTTGAGCGCCCTATACTACTGTCCACAATCTTAACGATAATCTTAACGTGTTTCAATGCCTGGAAAGGATGAATTGGAATCAAGAGAAAGGGGATTTTAAGTCTCTTAAAGTTAAACAAACAAACAAACAACAATAATTGTTGTTGTTTATTTGTTTATTGTAAATGTGGCTCTGTTCACCCTTAATGAAGCTAATTCTCTCAAACTCTAGATTTGAATAAGATGGTGATAGGTCTAACACAACCACCAATGTTTGTAATATGGAGATATTACAGACAGAGAATGGAGATATTTCTTTGGCCTTTAACACTGTTTAGAATACCAGCTTCCTTTTGAAAGCGTCACTTGGATTCTGCAGATTTACCTTTGAATTTCTTGACAACACTGTCACAATGGTCATCAACAACATTGAACTCGGCCAAATATACGGACCCAAACGTCCTACTTCCAAGCTCTTCTTTAATTTTAAGGGAATTCCATGAGAATTCTGGAAACTCCAAAGGACGTCTTCGCTTTTTGGAGAGATGGAAGCTTAAATGCCACCATCTCTACCCTGTCCAGTACAAACTTTCGTGTCCAAAATTAAATTATGCAAAATTATTTTGGTCAAAGGTCAATGAAATAATTTCAGTTCTGTCCCCTTGAACCAGAGTAATAAAGACAAGGGAAGAAAAGAATCTGTGACATCTGGTTTTATGTCTGTTATGACGCAAATAACTAATTAAGTAATGTACGTCTTTTGGTACACCAAAACTTATGTTGGGAAAAGCACTGTGTCCAAGGAAGCTACAATAGCCTGCATTGCAGACAAAATTTATTGGCAGCAAATTTCATCTGCAACAAAGACTAAAATAGGCGACAATCCATGTTTTAAAAATCCACCTTTTACAAATCAACATTTTGCAAATCCATGTTTTACAATTCCATCTTTTACAAATCCAAGTTTCACAAATCCACCTTTTACAAATCCATGTTTTACAAATCCACCTTTTACAAATCCATGTTTTACAATTCCACCTTTTACAAATCCATGTTTTACAAAATTCCACCTTCTACAAATCCACCTTTCACAAATACATGTTTACAAATCCATGTTTTATAATTCGATGTTTTACAAATCCACCTTTTACAACTCCATGTTTTACAAATCGACCTTTTACAAATCCATGTTTTACAAATCCACCTTTTACAAATCCACTCCAGCCCATGTTTTACAATATGCCGGTATATATGGAGGACTTCGTTACATGGCCGGTTGCACCGCAGGTTACCACTACGGCTAACTTGAAAATTTGATGGATAAAATTTTGGTCATGATATCTGATAGAGTCAAACAAATTTTGTCAGTGCAGGCTCTTAGTAATAGCTGATTTCACATGATTGGTACATGCTGTATCAATGTGCAAAATGTTATGTGTTGTAGGTGTGACAGGCCCACCTTACAATGTTATTGGATTACATGACAATCCACAAGATGTTTTTCTTAAATTTGAATCAATTTGTCATTACTGTTGAAAGTAATTCTATTGTTCTCGTGATGTAATCAAGTTCTCTGAAATAAAAGGCGTCCAAAGTAAATTACCAGTACACAAAAATCAGTGTTCTTTCCCATCTTGAAACCGTGCAAAAAGTCAAGTGTTACTTATGTTAAAATTGGGAGTATGTCACTCCAGGTTACCACTTCATATGAGTAGTGCACGAAATGACAAACAAGCAAATAAGGGACCGACAATTAGAAAAATGAATGGGGTGGGGGGACGGTGGGGAAAAAACAAAAAAACATAATTCATGCAAGGGAGGGTGACTGAAGAAAAAATAGTGCAAAGAAGTGAAGAAAAAAATTCCTGCAGAATGAGTTGCACTGTTGCATGACAAAAGTGGGTCGAGTTCAAAATCACCTATCGAGTCTCAGTGATCAATGTGTGAGATTGAGAAATCACTGTGTGAGATTGGAAAATTACTACATGAGATTAGAAAGTCACTGTATGAGAAATTAAAATTGCTATATGAGAATAAAAAAATGTCATGCGAGATGATAATTACTAATCGAGAATGAAAAATTGCCATGTGAGATTTATTTAAATGTTGACAATGAAAAATCATTGTGTGAGAAAAAGAAATCACCATTCGAGAGAATTGATTAGTTTTTTCTGAGCTGGTGAGCCATAACCAGTCAGCAGAGAGTATTTTGGAGGGATTTTCTCTCATCCTCAAAATGGTGGAGTAACTGAGCCTTTACAGAGTTTATTGATTTGCTAACGAGTATTGTTGAAAGAGCAGCTTCAGTTTATGATGCATCTGATCATGTGGGATTAGAAATCTGTGCATGGAAGCTTGAGGAACACACAAGAATGCTTATCGCCATATCACTGTCACAAAATTCCTGTCTAGGCGATATGTTGAGGTGTTAGAAGTGTCGTTAGCTATGTTAATAATAATAATAATAATAACAACAACAACAACATCAACAATATATAGAGAGGATGTCACCAAGACGAGAAAGACGTCAGATATTTTACACGCATCCAGCATTCGTCCAAAGGAGAACCCTCCATGGCATTCTCCGCAAGTACAGGAGGAAGACCGGCGTACATTACTACAAAGGAAATGATTGAGCAATTTCATGAGACTGGAATGAACTGGAGAAATATAGCAACATGTCTTGGTATCTCTGACCAAACATTATACAGACAAAAGAAAGAGTCTGGAGTGGAAAACAATTTCACAGATATTATGGATGAAGAATTAGAAAGACAGATACAGCAGACCCTAAACGCCATATAGTGGGCAAACCTATGTTAGAGGCAGTCTCAAAGGTAGGGGTATAAATGTTCAACAGTTCAGAATCAAAGAAAGCTTGAAGAGGATAGATGCTATAGGTACATGTAGAGCTGTGAGACGTTGGTATGAGATCTGTCGAAGAACATACAATGTCACTGGTCCTAATCATCTGTGGTACATTGATTCAAACCATAAACTAATCTCATGGAGAGTCGTCATCCATGGATGCATCGATGGCTACAGCAGAGCCATAGTATATCTGAAATGTTGCACAGACAACAAAGCAAGTACTGTCCTTCAATATTTTAAGCAAGGGGTGCAAGAATTTGGACTCCCTTCCAGGGTTCGTGGTGACCAGGATATGGAGAATGTAGATGTGGCAAGGTACATGATCATTAATCGCGGATCAGACAGAGGTAGTTTCATTGTTGGTAGAAGTGTCCACAATCAGCGGATTGAAAGGCTATGGGCTAAAGTTAATAGAGTCATCTCAGCACTTTACAAGGAATTGTTTGATTTCATTGAGCATAGTGGAATTTTGGACTCTCTGGATGAGGCACTTTTTCCTGTGTTCCAACCATTAGTGTCGTTCGCAGTTTGTTGTTGTCGCGGCTTACCAAAGAGTCTAGAAAAGGAAGTTTTCCATTTTCTTCAATCTCTGTAGTAAACTGGATGTCAGCATTGTGTTTGTTTAGAAGGTCATGAAAATCATTGATTTCGTCTTTGTGAATGGCGGTAAAGGTGTCATCAATGTAGCGTAACCAAAGCTGTATTGTTTGTCGACAAGTTGCAAGGGCTCGTTCCTCCACGTGTTGCATCACAATTTCTGCGACAACAACAGAAACAGGCTACCCCATGGCTGTTCCATGCAACTGTTTGTAGTGGACACTACAGGTACAGAAAACCGATACATACCAACAGATTACTTGATGAATCATCCTACAACCATGACTATAAAGACTTTGACAAGACGAGCACAACTAGTTTAACACACCGGACAGCTTATGTGACAAAAACAGATACCTTGAATATGTTTTTCAGAAAAACAACTACAACGCTGACTTTATTAGATGAAACATTTACCGACCTACAGAAGCTGACACATCGAACAGGAACCCAACACCTGTTACTACAGTGACTATACCTAACATTAAGGGCACTTCTGAGACCATCTCACAGATCCTACAGCCCTACAGCATCTGTGTAGCCCACAAACCTACAACTACTTTACAACACTTATTGACCAACGTTAAAGACAGGGACAAACCTGAAAACAGACAAGGAGCAGTTTGCAAGATCAAATGCTCTGACTGCCAGGCTTCCTACATTGGTGAGACTAGCAGAAACCTTAACACGAGACTGACTGAACACAAACGAGCCACGAGAAATGGTGATGCCAGCAATCACATGGCTGTACATCATCAACTGACAAACCACAACATTGACTGGGGCTCTGCTCAGTGCTTAACCTACATGTACAGTACAAACTATTTTCAACAACTGACTCTGGAGAGCTGGTACACTAACCCAGAACAAATGCCTCTTAACAGATGTCAACAACCACCAGCGCCTTATACATGTAAACGACTTATCCATGACAGAAACAAAACCAACAAATGGACTTCTAACAGACCGACTTAATTTGACTAACAATAGACAGACCAAAACCTGACCAATTTGACCAANTTGACTCTGAAGATGACTTCCACTCAGGTTGTCGAAACATCAGTCACCAACAACAGTTCTTTTCAGAACTACCCTCACCCAGATGATCACACTTTACCAAATACTGATACTCCTGGGTTCAAACCATTTACTATGATATGAAATTATGCAATAATAATGCATAATCTCTCAAAAAGCCATGCCATTCCAATTTTTTAACAGGATCATTTGCACGGTTGTACTTCCTTCATTTCTCTGTGCTAACTCTCATTTTGGTTTCAGCCCATGTTTAAAATAATCAACAGAAAGTTCCAAACACTCACAAGAAAGGGAAGGGAAGTGTTTTTCAGTGAAACATGCATAAGAATATATAAAAATGTATAATTGTTTGTTTCAACATACTTCAAAGGGAAGAGGTTTCCAAAAGGCTGTTTATCAGAGTCAGAGGTCTGAAAAAACCCAAACTCTGTGCAGGTCTGATACATCCACTGGCGACCTGAAAACCAAGAAAAACAGCACTGTATCAAAATCAGTCATCCAGACTCACGGACTGTGCAGGGGAGGGGATGGGGGATTTAGCACCCCCTCCCCCCCACTTTCTCACAGTAAAAAAATAAATAAGTATAGGATAAGATAATAGAATAGAATAGAATATACAATACAATACAATACAATACAATACAATACTTAACAAATAAAGAAGCCTTGACTGTGGTCTATTCTGTTGTAAAGCACGCAGGAAGTGGTAGAGCACGGAAGAAGTGTAGGGGAAAACAGGAGACGTAGTCGAGTGTATTTCCCTACTTCTCGAGTGCTCTACTGCTTCCCAAGTGCTTTACAACAGAACAGAGCACAGTCGAGGCTCCTTTATTTGTTTTATGATAAAGAATCCAATAATTTCCCCATGCATTTGGCTGAATTTTCAAACCAAACTTTATTTTCCAAACAAGCAAAAGTGGCGTCAACCGTGCACTGTTCTCTGATAAAGCACGCTAAGATAAGCCAATCACAATCCTTGTTAGAATTATTCAAATAATTTGATTGGCTAATGAAGTGACAGCTGTCAATCACAAACTGGACTTCAGCTAAGCTTTCAGTTTTGAGTAGTTTGAGCAGCTTTAGAGAGAAGAACGATGCCTTCAAAGTTCGCTTTTAAGTTAATTTTTAAATACGGATCTAAAGGCAGGTGAAGGTTTATAGTCCAGAGGAATCTGGCCATATTGTGGCCCATGAAAACGTGCACTTTTCCAGTGGAAATTACGAAATGCGGAGCTTAAAGCTTGTGGATAAAAGTGCGAAATGCCGAGTTGAATTTGAAAGGAGCTACAGTTATGTACGGGTTGTAGCCACATGCAGCAAGATTGCCCGAACTAGTGTAAAAGTTAGAAAGACTAAATGGCTCCCACTGGTTCTACATGTACTCCAAGCACAGAAGAGAATATCAGAGCAAGCTTTGCACTGACCACTTGTCGGTTCACTTCCCTAAGAAGACCGGAGAACGAGCGTTACTACATTGCATGTAAGTGTTGTTTGAGCAATTGAGCATTTTTACAAAAATAAAGCTTCTCATTGTAAATAGAGACAGTTCAATATTATTGACAGTTCAATATTATTGTTGTTTTCTGTCGTTGTTTTACTTCTTAAGTATAATTTCTGCCTTCGTAACAAATATAATGTCTTCTATCGAAGCACTGTTTAGGTTGAGAATTTGTTTATTTCGCTACATGTTTTGTCAGCGGGAATATAGCAAAACTTGTCATTTTAGTACAGTTTTAACACTACTGTTGCTAACAATGGTCTCTGCAAGCCATATTTACTACAGACAAATAGCTCATTTCCATTGCATTTGTCTGAATCACAGGGGATGTTTAATTTCGGGCAAATTTGTCAGCAAAATTCCGAAGCAAAAATTTGAAAGCCAACTTACCATCATCAACCCGTGCTCTGTTCTCTGATAAAGCACACTCTTTCAGCCAATCAGAGCATGCGTTATATGGAAACTTTATTATAAAATACAATACAATATAAAATATAACAAATTACAGTGGAACCTCCAGTTGCGACCACCTCTCCTCGACAACATTTTTGAAAATACCAAAAGTTTCCATGTCAAATCCCTATATTTGGAACCTCTTGTAAGGGACCATCTCATAAGTGACCACAGCCACTTTCAGAGCCACAAGATTGAAATTTTCTCTTGTTTTTAACCTCCTGTAAACAACCACTAATAGTAAAAAATAATAGAGCGGAAATTGGATAAGATTGGAGAAGGAAATTTCTCAATGGGAAGTACTGTTATGTAGTTTTTCTTGAAATTGACTTTTCCCCAAAAACAAAAGAATTAAAAACGGGTAATTCTCTACAGTTACCATATGCTAATGAAGCAAAATTTTGGCCCAATATGGTCTAAGCTTGCATTAGGAGCCACCTCCCATAACTGACCACCTAGGCTTAATATTTTGGGTGATCACTTACGGGAAGTGTGACTGTATTAAGAATATTATGCAGCTTGTCAGGGAATAAGTTTTAAAAGAACAAATAGTGTTGTGGTTGCTTGGACAACGATCTCCACAAGTTTTGACATATTTTCCAAATTGCTCATCAGGGCTTGTGTAATCCATCTTTTTGTAATGGTGTGACATCATTCAACAGTCCTACCAAAGTAACTTCCAAATATAAGTAAAGAAGCTGAGTCAAGTGAGAGGTTAACTATTTTTGCCATTAGAGGTAGTATTGGAGACATTCAATAAGAAGGTTGGTTGCAAGATGCTGTGCTGAGATCATATACTTCAGGTTTAGAGAGCAAGCAATAACGGTACTAGACTGAATTGCAATTTGCAACCTGATGGCATCAATTTAATTGTCATAAACAAATGGGTGAATCCAGTACATTTGGAAAAACTTAACAGGGACTTGCTGGCTCCAAAAAATTTCCACGTATAGTAATCACCCAAAATTCATACAATACAAAATGATAGCAAATTGGCATGTGATTTACATGTAGAAGCTCTCCAATTCCTTTGGCTTTTCTCCCTCATCATTTAGCCAAAAAAATATCATTCCTCCTTGGGACACAACATCAAACAATAATAGCCTTTTGCACAACAGGAGCATGATGGTCCAAATAGGGAATGCATGGGGGTGTTGTCCAATAAAGCAGTAAGCTGAAGAGGATCATCAGTGTTACGTCATCACAATTTGCTAATAATATGTATTCTAAATATCGTTCATAAATGCATCAATTTCAACCCTTTAAGAGGTGGTCGAGTTATTTGCCGTTGGAATAGCAGGGCATGGTGATCTGAAAACAGAATGCTGGAGGTGGGTTTACCTCTTACAAGGCTGTCTGACTTCTGAATACATGGATTCTTGAAAATCAAGAATATAGCCAAGCCCATTTGCATCTGAACATATTGAGTTAATAAAAGATTTTACAAGGTCTTCTTTTCCTCTTGTGCTTTCTGTTGTGTCATGCTTGGTAGACTAAGCACCTTGTCTAATGTATATCGATATATAAATGTTCTTATTATTATTATTATTATTATTATTATTATTATTATTATTATTATTATAGCCTAGTGTATTGGGCAAATTGAAAATTACATAACTGAATGGAAGTCTTTCTTAAATAAAATCCATGCACAATTTGCCACCCCTTCTTTGACTTGAATAATGTCTACTTTATTTGTGTTTAAATACGCTTGTCAGAGTTTGACATGTTTGTGCTAGTCACAGCCTTGTTAACAGAAAGGGCACTATCAAATAAAGCGTAACCAATTTTTCCAAGATTGTAGAAATTACATATGCAATATTGAGCAAGGAATATCTCAGAAGAAAAGTCAACAATGTGCCAGGGGTTAATTTGTGCTAAAATTTGGCCTTTGCATGTACCCCTCCTGCTCCCCGAACAATTAAGTGGCTTGACCCTGCGATCCACTTGAAAACCTGTACCAGGGCAATGGTCAACTTTAAACAAAGATGTGATTTCATTGTGCTCTAAACCTGAGCCCACGATATGGTCATGTGACACTGGTCAGTGAATACATTGTCTTGACAGCTGTCTATTGACCATTACATGGATGTCCAATAGCAGAGATATACACGTAAACTAAGGCTGCATGTGTTAGCCGGAGCAAAGCTGCCATGTTGCGCGATGTTGTTGTCGTCATTGTTGTTGTTGCAGGGCGCATGGGCCAGAGATCCAGGTGGCTAGTAATGTTGATGCATGGTTTAACATACATACATACTTTATTACCCCTTCCCCAAGAGGGATTTTCAGAGGAAATTTTCTTTTTGGTTCTGCATTTGGTTCTGTTCTTATGGTTATGGTGCTCTGTTTGCCAGCTCCTCAAACTGCCGTAGCTCCACCATGATGCTTTTCCTTATTTACATTAATGACTTGCCAAATTGCCTGAGTAAAGCCTTACCACGAATGTACGCTGACGAAACCAGTATCAGCATCACTGCCAGTAGCTTACCACAGCTTGAATCAGCACTAAACACTGAACTAGCTAACCTTCATGAATGGCTTAATGAATATTGCTAAAACTGAACTAATGTATAGGCTCACGTCAGAGACTTGCCACTACAATTCGCCATTTAATTACTGTGCAAATTGTAGGTCATGAAATTGATTGAGTGCCTCACACCAAATCCTTAGGAGTCTACATCGATCAAGATCTTTCGTGGTCCAAACATGTTAATGAGACTGCGAAGATTATCTCCTCTGGTATAGGTGCACTTAAAAGGTTAAGGCCGTTCATTTGCGAAGATACAGCTATGTTGCTATAAAGAGCTATTATCGAACCATATGTTGACTATTGCTGTCCTGTGTGGGACGGTCTCAACAATGAGTTAGCCGCCAAATTACAAAAACTACAAAATCGTGCCATTAGGATTATCACCACGTCTGATTACTATTCTAGCGCTACCGTCTTCTGTGGTAAGCTAGGATGGGATAATCTATATATCAGAAGGAAAAAGAAAAAATTGAAATTGAACTTAAAAACTTTGAATGATCAGTCTCCAGAGTACCTGAAAGGCCTATTTAAACCCTTCACACAGACTATGGACTTAGAAATAGTGAAAACAAATTGGCTCTGCCTAAGCCCCATACCCATTTTTTGAAACGTATTTTCGGCTCCAGTGGGGTACATTTGTGGAATAGCCCTCCATCTATAAATCACCAACTGTCCTCCTCGTACTCCCACACGGCAAACAAGTAAATCAGTTTTTTTTAATATATCTCAATCTTGTAACTTATGTTTTTATTGCGTCTAAATAGTGTGTGTATGTGTGTATGTATGTATGCTGGGACGAACAACCAGCAAGGGGGGGGGGGCTATACAGGTATGTGCCAAGGTATAGGTAGGGTTTCACAGTCAGCAGATTAAGATGTATAAGGTGTGATTCATGGCATGCCGCAGCATTGTTTGAAGGCTGGATAACACTATCCACTGGATAAATCACCAATAACATCAATTACAATTTTGAAGG